CACCTAATTGTAGTTTGTAATTGTATACTCAGGATTAATTGGAGCGGAGGTTACTTAGCACGTACATCGCAGGTTGTGAGATGGGTTAACTTTGAAATACATAATATTCAGTTTAGTGTGAATTGTAAATTGATACCAGTTTGCTTCTTCGTTGACATGTATTTAGAGAGCCTGGAGTTCTACAATGATGTCTGTCTGCCAACTGTCATTAATTGTCAATTTTTCAATGTAATCTGACTGCCAGTGGTTGCTAGTCTTTTGGTTCACACTACTGTGCTATCCAGGGTGCACCACCAGGAGGCGAACTAGCAGCAACCCCCCCCCTCCCCCCAATGTGACTGGTGTTCCTGGAGAAAATATCCACCCCATTGTGTCCGAATGTCCATCAACAACTTACACTGGCCCAATGTCTCATGATCTATAAGTCCATATATTTGCCATACACTAAATAAATAAATAAAACCAGGTTGCTTATCATGTGACCGAAAATGTTAGGGTACAATATGTTCAATTAAGGTTACTATATGTACAATTTTTTAATCTATAAATTTAAATTATTAAAGCATCTTCTTCTTCTTTCATTATTTTAATGAAATAATGATATTTCATTGTTATTCATATACCATACTGCATGACCATATTTTTCGGAGTTTAAGAAGCACCTTTTTCCCTCAAAAAAGAGGCTGAAAATCTGGGTGCGTCTTATACACTGAATACAGAATTTTTTGCTCAATTTTGTCCCCCCAGCCCCAGGAGCATTCTATAAGCCTCCTAAAGGCTATCCATGCCCTTTTTTTGAAGAAAAAAAATGGACCCGTTTTCGTGAAAAGTGGGGCATTTTGAATGATCACTAAATGAACTTGTAAGTTGAGGACTACCTGTATAAATTGAATGGGATATTTTTGTGGGATTCATTAACCTCACTAAACGAGACCTAATTTATCTCATTTTCCCTGATCCTAGTTAATTCTCTTCTCCTGTGTCCTCCATGAACTGGCATCTCATCTCAGCCTTCAACAAGGTTGAAGGAATTGGCATCTCCAGAAGATCTCATTGAAGAAAAGAAAGAAGCTAGTGTTTTGTGTGTGAGAAAACTTTCAGCTATAAGTTGAATTTTAAAACTTGACAATGAAGGTATCAAAGTAGTGAGCAGTTTCTGCCTTTTAGGATCAACCATCAAGAGTAAAGGAACTAGCAATCAAGAAATAAGCCCCAATCTAGCACTTGGTTGAGCCGAGGTGGAACAGTGGTTAAATGCAGCACTCCAGACTACTTCAGCTGTCTGCAGTTCTGCAGTTCGGCTGTTCAAATCTCACCGGCTCAGGGTTCCATCCTTCCGAGGTGGGTAAAATGAGGACCCAGATTGTTGGGGGCGATATGCTGAC